GTAATGTACATGAGTTGATTTATTCTGTTTACCCTCAGCTCCAATTAGCCAGTTTTTCACTTGCCATAGCAAATTTTACCTGGACTTTGAGGGGGTGCTGGGGCTGGTACTCATGGCCCTCAATAGAAGACATCTTTTTGCTGTATATTTCCTCAGTCCTTTGGTTCTTACTTTTTCCCAATCCCTCTTCTGATATGTCCCTGAGCATTGCTGGAGGAGATACAGTCGTCATTCAAGGCTGAACACTCCAGCGTCACTTATTTTCTGCACTTTAGCCAGAAATAACAGTATTAGATTCCAACCTAGGGACAATGACCTCCAAGACATGAGTTCTTAACCAAGTTTACAGATTCAGGTCTGGGTGTGGGCAGGACTTGGGAATAGGCCTCAAATCCAATCAAAAGGCAGCTTGTGATCCCCCCATAACAGTCAAGCCACTATCGCACTAGAATCTACATCTTGTCTGTTAAGTTGTTATTGCAGCTTTCAAGTTTCACAGTTGAGTAATATTTACTCATTCTTCTACCTCAGCAGCCTGCATAACATCAGAACTTCAATTTCTGATCTGCCTGTCTCAATTTCCACAGTGTTGAGATAACAAGAGTAAGCTGCCATGCCTAGTTTTATGCAGTTCTAGGGATACAACCCAGGGCTTTCTGCATGCTAGATAAGTACTCTTTCAACTGAGCCAAATCACTAGTCCTTATTTTCATTTTTGAGACAGGGTCTTACTAAGTTTCCTAGACTGGCTTCAACTTGAAATCTTCCTGACTAACCTTCTCAAGTATCTAAAATGATAGACCTTCACCACTATGCCCAGTTCAGTCAATTTCCAGCAAAATAAGTCAAACAATAATTATAAAACTTTACTTACAGAAACTTCACTAACAGTCTTAGTGACTGTTAGTCCTAGAATTCAGGATGACAGTAACCTAGGAGTATTCATAACGGTTGAGTTTTAAATCATATCATTATGTATCAATCACTGGAAGGTTCTCTGATGTTTGGAACACCATCTATACTAGGAAGAGCCATGGAGGTGCAGTAAAATCTGGTGATCCAACAACTTTATTCCTCATTATATTACCTATTAACCATTTACTACATAGAACCATGAATGGCCATATGTTTAAATGTTCACTATAATGCTGCTGGTGATACAAGAAATGAGGTATAGAGTCCATCACTGGAAATTGTCACTGGTAGAATGTGGTAGCAGCATCCCATAAAGTCCAGCCCAGAATTTGAAGCAACATGAATAAACATTAAAAACAGTGCTTAATTTGTAAAAAGAAACAAAATGAGAGCTATCTAACACAGTACAACTCATGTAAATTAAACATCTGTACAAAACAGGGTACATTTTTCAAAAATACACAGAAACTGACTGCATGGTGTACATTTTAAAAAGCGAGGAAAAATACAGAATGGTAAATAAAAGGAAATTTTTGGGTGCTGGCTGTAATGGTTATAGTGCAATTACTTCACATGTACTAGACCATAAGACTCTAAGTTCTATTACCCAGTACCACAAAATAATAATAGTAAGGAGCTTCGGGTATAACTACAAACAGATTATTTGCTTAGCATAGGAGGATTTAGCTTAACTCCTAGGACTACACAAAAGGGAAGCAGAACGGGGGAATGTATGAGGTATAAAGGCAGTATCAGATGGACATCTTCAGCAAACAGTCAAGGTTACTACTCCTGGTGGGACACATTCACATATATGTGCCTGTAGATACCATGCACTTAAGGGCATAGCTTCTGTGGTACTGCCAAATATGTAACTTAAAGTTAAACAGGAATCTTCTTAGCAAAATGAGGGGTACTCAGTGAAATAACTGTTCTCTGTTCTTCCAAACTACCAGTCATTACAGACAATGGAGGGATGTGAATCTGTTTCAAGTTCAGGACTAAAGATCTGGTAACTAAGAGTTGAACTGCAGATGAGATGCCAAAGTAGAAACAGGACAAGTCAGGTGAGTATAGAAATCTGAAGGAAGTATGTATGTCACCCTCATTTAATTTTGCTTTTTGTCATGTACACATGATACTGACATCTGGAGGATTCAGAGCACATGGAAACCATCACACTAAAATTTCTGGTATAAACAAACTAGGAATTTTATCAACTCCAAGTGTCCAACTTTCCAGCAATGGGAGACTGAGGCAGGAAGTCTGCCACAAATTCCAGACCAGTCAGAGACACATGACAAGCCCATATCAAAATAGAAGAAACCAAGACAAAAGGTGCAGGTTCTGGTACTCACAAAACTTTCCAACCATCAGCAGAACATTAATCTCCAAGTGTTTTCATCAGTCCAAGAGAGCAACTCTATTCTCACTAGCAGTCACCCCTCACTCCCTTCTATCCCGACTCCTGAAAACCTTTATGTCTAGAGAATTGCTTACCGTGGCAATTGTGTCAACAGAATTGGACAGTATATGGCCTTTTGTAACTCATTTTCCTCACTGAGCATGATTTTAAAGTTCACCCCCATTGTAGTCTAAATTTCTACTGTTCTTTTTGTTTTCTAAGATGGGGGTCTCAAGTTGCCAGTCTGGCTTTCATCTCCTGATCCTCTTATCTTCATCTCCTATCAGACCCAGTCTATAATTTCGTTTAGGGCTAAAATTTATTTCAGTTGATGGGCACTGGGGTTATTTCTATCACTTGGCTATTGTAAATGTTAAGACCACTGTTAATATGCATACTAGTATTTGACTTTGTTTTCAATTCTTTTAGGCATATACCTAGGAGTGGCAACCAGTTTTTGTTAAGAATCACTATTTTTGCAGTTGTCCCATTTTAAGTTTTCACTAGCAGTTTTAGTGTTTATATTTTTCAACATATTTTACTTATACATGTGTGTATCTCTCTACAGTTGTGCTTCTCACTTCTAGACAAAGCCACTAAATGTTTGGTCTATTTTTTTTCCAGGGGTCTCACAGAGACAAGGGGGGAAAGTTGGTGAAAAAGTGAGTCTCCGAACATTTTCACCCTTTAACCCTGTGTTTACTCACACCATTCTTGTAACATGAGGGCCGTCTTGTTGGGGTTTCTGTCCCGCCGGATACCCCAACAAGCCGGCAAGTCCCAAAGAGAAAAATCATGCATAGAACTCCATAAGGTTATAAACTGATTGGCCCATTAGGTCAGGCTTCTTGTTAACTCTTATAACTTATGTTACCCCATTAGCCTTATCTACGTTAGCCACATTGGCTCCGTACCTTTCTCAGCTGGGCAAGTTACATGTTGCCTCTTTGGTGGTCTGCGCAGGAGTGGAGAGAGAGCTTCCTGTGTCCCAGAATATTCCCAGTCTCTTTGCTCCACCCCTACTTCCTGTCTGGCTTTCCCGCCTATACTGCCTGCCTGACCAATCAGCGTTTTATTAAAATATGATTGACAGAATACAGACAATTCTCCCACACCACATTCTGATGAATGTGTCAATGTCTTGGACTTTCATGACAGCGGCTGAGTGTCTACATTTAACTCTACTTTGCTACTTTCTCCTTGGAGCTGGCATCATATTGTAGACAGTACAAGCTCAATCTCCCAGTACTACTTCAAATGTCAATTGCTTGTTGCCATTTACATTTGTCTGTCCACCTATCTATATATCAATAGTTCCCAAAACACCTCATGCTGGGGAAATTGTGGTATAGCTCACAGAACCCAGGGAAGTTGATTTAACATTTCTCAGGTATCCTAAGGGAGCCAAGTAAGGAACAGCCCAACCAAAGTCATGTATGTGGTAACGTGTGCTGGAAGACACCTGGCTTCCATTCCTTCCCAAGGTCACGTGCTCAGTAGAACATCCACCAAAGACATTTTGACCTTCAGAGTTGGAGGATGTTCCATTATATTCATTAATCAGGCAATAATGAATGTCAGCCCCCCACCTCCAATTCCTGTTGAAACTTGTGATCAGAAGTGTAACAGTAGTAAGACTTTAAGATTTCAGGGACTGCTGGGGTAAAATAAGTGTGTTAACAAGTGAAAAGGACATGAAGGAGTTAGGAGAAGAGTACCAGGGTCAAAATATGTGAAAATTATGTTCAACTATCTTTTGTATTTTTACCACATGAATAAACACCAAAAAGGTGCTTATCAGACAACAAATGTTGATGTCTTGGACTTATTCCCTGGAGTTGTTAAAAAATAAATTATCAAGTCTTAGGTATTTTGTTATAGCCACACGAATGGACTAAGAAAGTGATTACTGGGCTGGGGGGATATTGTAGTAATGGCTCAATGTACTTTGGAGGCATATTTGGGATCCACACCTAATACTAAAAATATAGAAAAAAAAGTCACCTATTCAGTTGGAAGAACAGGGGGCATGAAGCTTCAACCCACTATATCATGGTGATTTGGCATCTAGCCACTTTCTGGAAGCCAAACTGGGTACCCCACTTCATCACCACTTATCAATTAGCATACAAAAGATTGACTCAGTGCTCTAGACTCTAGTGACTTTGGGTAGTATTGTGTGAGGAACAGACCAACAACTACAGTAAAAGATGCTCCTAGTATCCCTATTATTCCATAGAGTACAAGGACTTCAGACACTGTACACAAGTATGAATATGTATTTCCTGTTATATCACCATATTTGACCATACTTAGAGCATCCATCCAGAATTGCTCTGTCACTTGGGAGAAGGAAATGAAACCTTGGGTATGAAACTCTTCACATCTGTTTCTGCGGCCAACACTTTGTTTAGTGATTGTCAAACAACTTCACAGAGTTTCACGGGTGCAAGATGGAAGAAAGAAAACACTCTCCTTTTGATAACTATCAAGATAGTTTTGTAATTATGATTTTAATTAAATAATTCAGGCTGTAGAGAGCCATTTATCACACTTAAAATGTTGTCAAATACCTGAATAGAGCACTCCCTTTTTTTAGAAGACCAGTGGCTTGGGAACAAAATAGGAGATGGAATGAACTGGAATGTAGGAAACATAATCTCACAAAGAACAGACAACATTAGCTTCATTTTTATTGAATTCAGCAGAAGATGACAAAAACAAATTATATTACCATCATTAGCAATTAGTTAATTACATAGACATTGATCTTTATATCACTTTTACTCCTTTTCCATTTTTTAAACACATTAATGTAAAATACATGATTTCTTACTAAAAATCTCTAGTTTATATAATAATTAATAAATCCCCCTTTAAAACTATTCCTCCACTGAGAATTTTAGCTTCAATTTCTACTTTCTAAAAATATTCATAAGTGTAAATTTATTTACCAAAAGAGTAGGCAAACAAACCATATTATAAAACTTGAGTTTCTTAGAAGCAAGTTCCATTCTCTTTTTCCTTTCACCATGAAAAGTCATGCTTGAGCTCCTCAACTAAAATTCTTCTCATTCCAACACACAGATGCTTTTCTGCTTTCAGAAGGGATGGTCAGCAGTAGTGGACAGTCCAGTAAATTCTAGGGCGAGCTTTCAGGGAACTAATAATGGAGTGAGATGTTGAAACACAATAAAATGTTCAAATTCTACTGAGACTGGAAAGTCCTTCATAAAAGTTTTGGGACAATGATGAAGGAAGAACAGAAATAAACTAGGCTCCTGTAGATAGAAAAGAAACCAAAATGAGGACAAATGGTGAGGTAGGGGAGCAGTGTGCTAAGGTGTTTTACTCTCTGTCAGCAATAACAAACAGAAAGCATTTATGATAACACAGTCAGTCTTTAAAAGTTGAGGAAGAAAAGGAAGGATGACATTACATCTTATCTTTTATTTCTTCAGCTGACAAGGTTGATGAGACTGTTTTGGATGAAATCACAATGAAACCATTAATTGCTAAGGTGATCAGCTTCATGGAGGTCCTTTTCTTTGTTCTTTTCAATGACATAAGTCATACACTCATTTATGGCTCCTAGAAAAGTGACTCGGAAATATTAGAGATAAAATATTGATAAGGTGGTCAATGGAGAATCGCTTCCAGGTAGCCTGAAACCCAGCAGACAATGTAGCTGTTGCCTAATAAACACAGAAATCTACATTGTATGCCAGGTTCATGCCCCAGACCTGGATGTTCAGCCTGCAAATCATTCAGATTATTTCAATGTAAATGACTGTTTTAACCAAGATGTTAACATTGATATGTGTCTTATTTACCACAGATAAAATAAAACAGAAGTAAAATTTACTGTGATTTACTTGTAGGTGAAATTTCTTCAAATAATGCTATTGCCCGTCATTCATTACATAATCTTTAAAATGCCCTTTAAAGGTCAAAAGATATATGGAAGTACAGACATGAAGATAGAAGAATATCATGTTAGGTATATGATACACAGAGAGGTGAATAGAAAAGTGTATCTTAATGGAGGATAAGGAGGAACACACACAGAGGCCTCACCAGTCATAAAATTCTTGAAATACAATGAATGACGGAAGATTAAACTCTGAAATTGTGTTGTTCCAGACAAAGCTATCACTTCATTAACCTTGCTCTGGGTATCATAACTGATGCTAGATGATGCCACCAGAGACCCAGTAGCCAGATGTAGCTGCTGATTACCAAAGACAGGATCTACACTGGCTACTGAGCTACAGAGGGCACCCTAATCCTTCTGAGAGCTGGAAAGTTTGTGGCCTTCTTAGAAGAAGAGAATCTGTGGAAGAAAAGATATCAATTACAGAAATTAATAAAACAAAACCAGGAGTTCTCAGTTGGATATTTTTCTTGGGTTGTAAAAATATGTAGCTCTTAACTACCTCTAGATTCACTTACTAAATGTCTAAAACAAAAAATTATTAAAATGTAACCATTACAACAATATTCAAAGTAGTACCTCATCTGTTTGTTATTTCCAAGCTGTTCCCCTACAAAAGAATACAGGTTTAAATTACTAGTTAGTTCCTTATTGATCCGGCCATTCATTTATCTTTCTAGAAATACTTGTTAGGACACTTTTCTGTATTTCAGTCTAGGACTCAAGAATACAATATTGAAAAAATATCCCTGACTTTTAGAACTGAGAATTAAAGATGACAATAAGAGTAATGAAAAACAAGAAAAGAATCCAGCACATATGCAACTAGTTCATAGAATAATAAATAGTTGAAAGCACTGGTACTGTTTCTAAGGTAGCTTAGCAGTGTGTGACTGACTAGAAGAAGAGAGTCATACATACATCTAGAGAAAGGGCCCTGTGGGCTGTGTGTGTGTGTGTGTGAGAGAGAGAGAGGGGGGGGGGCAAGTGTCTAAAGCATCAGGGCAGAAAAGGATCCAATGATTTCAAGTAAGGCACTCTATGTCTGCTTTTGATCATCACAGGCAATCACTGTTTTCTGCATTTAAGGTCATTTTCAAATGTAAATATAAGCACATACATCCTATAGTCTTGCCCCTTTTTTATTTTAATAATCTGCAGCATTCACTTAGAAAGATTTAGGAGGGGTCTCATCAGGAAGAAAGCTCTTAAAGGCTTACAACTTTCAAATAATACAAGTTCAATGGACATGCAGTTGGACTATAGAATGATAGTCAAATACATGTACAATCAAGAAAAGTGGCTTATTCCAATACTGTTAACAGTAAGAAAATAAAGCAGCTTTCTGGAACCCAAAGTGTACTTGGCTCTTTTGGGGAGCACAGCTAGGATTGACAAGGGAAGTGGGCTTTTGTTTGATTGCTTTTTCCCCTTTTAATAATTATAAACTAATTTTATCTATTAGTAGTATTTTAATACTCTCTACAAAGGAGCATGCATAAGGAGATGAGTGGAAAAATGAGCATTTGCTCAGTTTTAAGCAGGCTCTTACACTTACTATAATATAAAACATTTATAGAGACACAAACACACATCTCATAACACTCTACAAGTGTTCCTAAATCACCTTTTATAGAAAAAGCTTCCAGAGTGAGGCAAGGGCTTAGTTTGGTTAGTTCCAATGTCACGGTTATACAGATGTTCATTTACAAATCTTAGTCCATCTTAGCTACAATCTGTAGACCCAGAGAGGTTAGATATGGAGGAATGGACGTGATGGGGCAGGACAGGGAAGGAGTTACATGAATCTCCCTGGGAGGGGAAAACAATAGATTTTATGGGTGGAATGGGAGGATCAGGTGATGGATGGCAGGTAGGATTGAGGGAGGGAATTTGGGTGGTATAGAAACATAGTACAGTGGAAAGTTTCTAGAATATATGAAAGCGATTCTAATGAATAATGGGGAAGAGAATCGCAACTGGCTATATCACCAAATGAAGTTTCCACTACTGGAACTGGGTTACATCCAATTGAAGTGTTGGCCAAAGGGGTTCCATGGAAAACTCCAAACAATCCAACCTGTTGCAAAGAATATAGGTTGTTCGCCACAAACAGATCGGAAGGTCCATTGTTGAACACAACACCCATACAACTCATTGAAGATGGAAAGGATTGAGCTGTTGTATACATAGAACTCCAATATTCTGGTGTCTATGACACAGAAAGATACTCTGCAGGCTACCAAAAAAAAATGCAAACACTAACCCAGCCACAAAACCTTTGATCTATAATCTGTCCTGTGTGCAAAATATATGCTAGGGCAATGCTGCTACAAAGCTTGTGGGAACATTGGAGCACTGGACTGAGCTCCCAAAGCCCAGATGAAGAGCAGAAGGAGGGAGAACACGAACATCAGGACCGCAAGGGGTGCACCCACCCATGGAGACCGTGGGACTGATCTAATGGGAGCTCACCAAGGCCAGTTGGAATGGGACTGAATGAGCATGCAAATCAAATCGGATTCTCTGAATGTGACTGACAATGAGGGCGGACTGAGAAGCCAATGATAATGACACCGGGGATTTTGATTCTACTGCGTGTACTGGCTTTTTGGGAGCCTAGTCTGTTTGGATGCACACCTTCCTAGACCTGGATGGAGGGGGGGCTTGGACTTTCCACAGGGCTGGGCACCCTGACTTCTCTTAGAACTGGGGAGCCAGAGGGAGTGGGAATGTGGTGGGGGGGGGGAGAGGATGAGAGGAGGTGGAAATTTTTAATAAATAAATAAATACAAATTTTAAAAAAAGCTTGTGGGAACAAACATCAATGCCTGATTTGACTTAAGATTCATTCTAAGAGATAGAACCTTTACCTAATACTGCTTGAGTGATCAAGAATCAGAGACTAGATAGCCCAGACCTAGGGTAAAACAAAATATTACTAGTCTTTTTTAAAGTAGTGATAAAATGACTCATAGTCATAATCTGCTATACTCAGATATTATTCAGTCATGAGAGAAGTTTTCTCCTGCAGCAGACAGAAACTAATACAGAGACCAACAGCCAGACAGGGAGAGAGACCTCAGAACATACAGCTCTAATAGGTTGTCTTCAACAAATTCCTCCCCTCAGAGCTCAGGGAACCTCATGGAAGAGGACGCAGGAAGAGTGTAAGAGCCAGAGAGGATGGAGGACACCAAGAAAACAAGGCACTTTAAATCAACTGAGCAAAGCTTACAGTAAGCACAGGGGTCAGTACTAGGTAGGTCCTCTGCATAAATATTATATCTTTCAGTTTAGTATTTTTAAGGGACTCCTGAATGTGTGAATGAGTGGGTTTCTGATTCATTTGCTTTCCTTCGGGGCTCTTTTTCTTCTATTGGTTTGCCTTGTCCAACTTTGATGCGATAGTTTTTGTTTTATTTATTTTGTCATGTTTGGTTGTTATCTTTTAGAAGCCTGTAATTTTCTCAAGAGAGACAGAAAGAGTGAGTCTGAATGAAAGGGGATGTGGGGAGGAACTGGGAGACAGATGGATAGGTAACTAATTAGAATATATTGTATGAAAAAAAGAATCTGTTTTCAATTAAAGGAATGAATTGGAGGGGAGGGCATGGAGGTATATTTATTACTATCTAACAATAAAATTATTCAAAATGTAATTAGTCCTATTGTGGTTAAAATTTCAAACAAAAGATGGCAAAATTTTTTAATTTCCTTTAAATTCATACAAGTAATGCATGATAAACTATAAATAAAACTTTACTCAAGTTTATTTCATGAGTATTCACCACTAACTAATGAAAAGTGAACAGAATGATATAAAATTTTAAGTAACAGTACATTTTAAAAGTTTATAAAATTCAAAGAGAAAAAACATTATTAAACTACAAAGTCAAGTTACATAATATTATTACCTAATAATTAAGCCCCATATGAGAAAAAAGCTGTAACCAAGGGATCCACTGACTGAATCCAACTCACACCACAAAGAGACAAAACACAAACAATACACAAAGGACTCCATTCTGGCTGAAGATCATTAGTCTGTGGTGGGAAAAGAGATTTTAAAATGGAGGCAAAGACTCATTAAAAGTTAAGTCTACAATCTACTGCCAGAGAGCCTGTTTGGAACCCTATTCCTTACAGAGTTACCCTAGCATTTGAAGAGCCTACACTCCACAGTCAAACCGGAGCAGCCTACAGGCTGAACTAGATAGAAAGTTATTGACACTAAAAACAAAGTTGCCAGACAGAACACTACACTTCCATCAAAGTTTCCCGAGAAATGAAACAAATGCTGTTTGGAGGGTCATTCAACTAAAGCGAGAATAGAATCACTCAACT